TTGAATTATATGTAAGAAAGCAGTCAACTCAATTAATTTCATTCACCTTGTAAACCTATTTTCCAAGCGATTATTTCAGAGTGGTTGCTTTCTACTATTGTTATTTCATGATTCTCAGTATATTTTCGTTGCTAAATTTTGTGCAGATTATACATAAACTGAATTATATACTGAAGAAATCAGTTAACATGGTAAACATTATCAGTGATAATCATTTCTCCTTCCAAGTGTTTATTTTGACGAGTCTACATACATGCAATCTCTAGTTTACAAAGTGATTATCATTTATATCATTTAGGAGAGTGAAGTTTCATCCTCTGCTGTATCTGTGAAGTTTATCCAAGTTTATTCCTAACATCATGACATGACAATTATAACTTTTACTCCGTACGCTACTGAACGTTCGGAAGTATTCGGAAATTTTGGCAGCTAACTTTAGCAGCCAGTTTCACACTGCTGTTTCTATAATTGGTGTCGCTATGTATTTTAGTTTTGGTTTCAACAAAAAGTGCACAGTTGATATTGTTGCTTTCTATGAAATAATTCAGTAGATGTTTTTTTGTCACATAGCTATTTATGTTGGAATATAGGATGTTAAGCATGTTGAATGTTAATAGGAGATGCTTGTCCATTGATGGGTTTTGTTGGCGAATTTGAGTCTGAGTCATCTAGGTCAAACATAAGAATGAAGGCTCGGTTATTTTCTATGAATACTACACAGGTTTCTTTTCTGTAGTCTGCTATGAATTGTCTCTTTAGTTTTTTCAAAAGTTCTTCTTTGTGTGTTTCGGTTTATTTATTTTGTGTATATAGATGATGATGTGATCGTGAACAGTCACATTTGGTCCCTTGTTTGATTTCAGATTTTATTTCATTCGACCTTTTGTTTATGCTTTTTATGGTTGCATTGGGTACCTATTCTTCCATTGGTTTAGTTGGTCTTTTTGGACATTTAAAAGACCAGGCTTGGTGATCTTCTGCTCCACAGGACTGACATTTGGGGGGAAGGTTAGTTGTACATTTATTCGACTTGTGATTTTCTCCGCATTTGTTACATTTAATTGGAGTGTTGCATTTTTCGGTTTTGTGGGTTGAATTCAAACATCTGCTGCATGGTATAGGAGTTGGACTGGGTGGGTTACTAGGGTTTCTTTTTTTGAAAGACAGCACCTCGTTCAATAAGTTTTCATATACTTGGATGTTGGATGTACAAAAGTAGGTCTTTACTCTACCACTGCTTTCACTGAACTGACGAACTGACCACAATCATTGAATTTTGTTTTGAAAACATAGGAAATGCCATTGTTCAAGTTTTTAGTTTCATGCAATATTCAGTAACGTTAAATGATGACGTTAAATGACAAGTGACACATTTTGCAGCTTGAAAGTTGAATTTTACTAATTTTTACCCTTTCCATGGGCAGCGAAAATTCTGCACTTCTGCCGCACTTACAACAAAGTCACATTGTGAGCATGCGCTTTTACTGCAGAAGCAAGTATTCACTGTTCATGATGAGAAGGCAACGTAATACAACAGGAAGAATTAATTTTAAAAAACGCACCTGGGTCGAGAAACTCTATTTTATTTTGGACTTTGAAGATGTGTTTGCATATCATCATCAAATATATGGTAGTATGAAACGCTTTGTTTGAAGGATTTGGAGAATGATAGATGAAGCTTCCAAAATTACATTGTGCAGTTGTACCAACAAAATATAAGAAATCCAGTTCTATGAACTGAACCTGAGACTGGAAAAATTAGAAGTCATATTATTTCACCAAAGAGTCTTCTAGTTTAGTCATGCATATAAGAGAGAAATAGGTGAATGTATGTTTTCTAGATAATACACAAAAAACTTTCCTTGAGTGTGGGTTTTGAGAATTAAGATGTTAACCTCCATCAACGGTGTCCTCACCTTGTCGTGGTGAGGACACCGTTGGCGGTAGCTCAGCTACTGGTTGGGCCCCCCAAGCCGGACGGTTCGAGTGGGAAAAGTCAGACGAAGAAAAGTACTATCTCCTGCAGCCCCTGGGGTTAGAATAAGTCCTTGGTAACCCTTACCTGTTGTAAGAGGCAACTGAAGAGGGGGCTTAATCCAGGTGTTGAGTGACTCGTGTCGTAGGATAAATGGTACATGGATCTTATAGGGTATCACCAAGGAAGATTCAGCCCTACGTCCGTGGAGTGGACTTCATAGATATGGACAACCTTTTCCTCCATACTCGTGGGAACTCAATGAAACGCAACTACAAAGGAAAGAAGGGGGACTCTGATGCGCAACGAGAGTAATAAAACCCAACCTACAACACAATAAGTGGGCTTCAGTGATCATCCCTACAAAGAATATGAAAATGTTTGATATTGCTTTCATACAAGAACCTTGGATCTTCAAGGAAAAGATCACGTGACTGAGAGAAATCCGGGAAGATTTAATTCACATCAGAACCCGAAACATGCGAACATCATTAAAT